ATTCGAGCCCTAAGCAAATATTACAGAGTATAAAAATCAAAAATGTATACATAAATTTTTTGAATTTTTAATGCTTTATAATAATAATTTTAAGTGAAACAACATGAACAAGAATATCAGAGGCAACATTATAGTGTAAGATAAGTGTCACGAGCATAAGGTCCATTTTTAATTGTATTTGTTAAGAGTCTCTTAGCGGTTTGGCCATAAAAAGCCTTGTTAGCGATCTGTTTTAACTTATCAGTGGCTACTTATATAATGCTATAAAAATGAGCACTATTATCGCTAACAAACTGTTCCAATTTCGGTGATCGACTTTACTAAGTTAAAGGTTTTTTATTGAAATACTAATATATAAAATAACTGATTGTTTATGATATGTAAGGAAAAAACTTTTTTAATAAGTTTAGTGTGTTAGGGACTAATCCCACCCACACGCAAACCACTGTAACTCCTGTACACCAGGATCCACAGCAGTGACCCACGAACACACCGAGTTATGACACTCGGGAAGTCCCAGGAAAAAAATTAACTGTCTTGGAACCCGCAACGAAATTAATCAGAAGAAAATTGGAGGAGTTGGAAATACAGTGAATCCACTTCCCTCCTTAGCAAAGCGGGATACAAAATGAAGTAAAATAGGCATACACCCTTTTAAACAGGGAAGCACCACGGCCACAAACTATTACGGGTCCTACGTGAGCTATATTTGATTTTTGATTTCTATAATATGTATGGCAGAATCGCCTAAACGCACGGAAATTCACCCTAGTTGACCTAAGATCCCCATAGTATACTGCCCCAGATGTCACCTGCAAGCTATACAGCGTTACATTACGTTCATTTTACTAAAGACTACATTCCCAGAGGATTTTTTTTTGGCTTATAATTTTATTAATACGGTATCTACTTTTCTAGTGTACAGTATCTCTCTGTTACAAATATTATAAGCTCTAAAAATTCATATACCTATTCAACATTGATACAGTAAGCAAAAATACCATTTATACAGCCTTAATAAAAATACTATTTACGATTAACAAGAAATTTAAAAGAAAAAAAAGGACTATTTGTATCATTCAGCTACAGCGGGTTTCGTGGCCTAATCTTAAGGTAAACTATAACTGAGACGGCCGAAGTTAGCTCATCAAGCGTTGTGCTGCGGTTCTGAACTTGTTTCTGACTACTGTGTGATGGACTAGCAGTATAATGGACTTTAAAATATATATACGAGGGGGTATAATATTGAAAACAGTTGGCCAGTTGATAAGGCACGAAAACTTTGTCAAATAATATTGGAAGGAAAAATAGATGGCAAGGGAAAACGAGGACGGCCTAGATCAAATACATACAGCTAGTGAAGAAGAAAGTGGTTTCATGTGTGTTGGTGAAGTCCCCCGCGACACAGGATATATTTCTAGTGCGGGAGTTGTCTTTAAAAAGAACTCTGAGTATCATTGTCAATATTTATAGTCCTTTGTTCTCGTAGGTTTTTAATAATGAATTATTAATGGAAATATCATATAAAATCTAAAGTAATTTATGGATTGATTAGCAAACGTAATATATGCCTTATTATAAAAAAAAGCTAATTATTACTCGAACATATTGATAGAACAAACGAAGCTGAAATCAAAAGGTTTTAACTAAGATTACAGATTTCTCATTCATCATAATCAAGAGCCTTTAATAGGAATATGGACATAGGCTTATCCTTGGAAAGGAGGTTTTGGCCAACTATACCACGCTGACGGGTTGGTATAGGGTTTGTGTCAAGTTTTCCTTCTCTTTGTAGTGTGGTTGTCCTGCGTAGTTTGCTCTATTAGTCGGCTCTTATGACACCCATGGGATATGTTCTTTCCTTTTATTTAAAAAAAAATTATAGTTTTAAAAAACTAAAAAACACGCTTTCTATAGAAAACCAAACTAAAAAATAGAAAATAAATTTGAAAAAAAGCGTTGGGTGCTTTTTCCTATTGACAACAGGCACCCAACGCTTTTTTTCAAATTTATTTTCTATTTTTAATTTGATTATTTAATTTTTAAACCAAACTAAAAAATAGAAAATAAATTTGAAAAAAAGCGTTGGGTGCTTTTTACTATTGACAACAGGCACCCAACGCTTTTTTTTCAAATTTATTTTCTATTTTTTAGTTTGGTTTTCTATAGAAAGCGTGATTTTTAGTTTTTTAAAACTATAATTTTTTTTTAAACTATATTTTTTTTCATTTTTTTTTATATTAGTGTATTGTCATCGGTCCTCGATATATCTACAAAGTTTAAACGAATTCTGACCGTTTAAAGTCAGTCAAAATTACGACCAAAGGAGTCGGTTACATACAAACAAACATACAGGTGAAGCTAATAAAAGCGTGTTAAAAAAGACAACTCCCGCACTAATAATATATTCTGTATCGGGGACTTAACTGACATACATGAACCGGACACAAAGAACATGCAGACTTAGAACTACAATTTGTAGATCACACACAGTTTTGACCCATGTGGCATCCGAACCCACAACACTCAGCTGACTGCTTAAACTAATACATCGTCCATACAGCCTATTTGTATTTCATAGTTTGCTTCAGTCCATTAAACTGTTCTGCACTAACTGACGTAATAATTAAAATGTGCCATATAATCCTAATCTTAATAGCTCATTCGCACTCTTTCACGAAATTTATGACTCCATGATAAAAATATTTTAGAAATGGTTAACACGTTTCTAGACATTTAATTTGAAAAATTTCAGTAAATTTGACAGAGTTTGATCTAAATCAATCGAATTATAAGTTTAAAATGGTAAGTTTTTACTGGTCGTTGAAATTTTGGAATTGTTTTTTTTTACCCGACTGCCAAGGAAGGGGTTATATTTTTGATGTTTGAACTTCATTTACATTGGATAATGAAATAAATCTTAGGTCGTAGTTTCCATTTATATAACATGACTTTGTAAGATATTTTTTTTCTACTAGGAGTGTTGTAGTTGAATAACATTGTTTACGCATTAAAATATTTACCCGAAATAAAAATGAGCAAGATATTAAAGTGAAAACATGAAATTAAAATGAGACTATAAGACTGACAGATGGATCAAAATAAGTGATGATTAAAATAATAGAAACAAGTGACGAAAAAGGAGGTGAACTTTGGGTAGATAATAAACGCGCTGAAATATCACTTTAGGTAGTCAAAAGAAAAACAAAAATGTAGAAAGTAGGCGAATAAAATGAAAAGGACATTACAGTAAAAGAAAATGTGTAAATATAACCAGTGTTGATTATTGGGCGTATCTATGACAAAACTTAATAGACTTGTAAACTTACTTAAATTATTTTAGAAAAAAGGCTTAAACTGGAATGTATAAGAATCTAGTTCGAGGTTCAATGTACATCACAAATCAAATCCATTTATTTTAATTTCAACCTACACAATGTTATTATGTTAATTACATTAGAAAATAAAATATACGCTTAACAAATATACACAAGATGTTTCATATCTTAGGAAGGAGGAGAAAAAGCGAGACAAAAGAGTGTAAAGGGATCTTTGGCAAATCAGAAAACGCATTTGTTTTTTGAAGTGAAAACTTCTTTAGCGGCGTTGTACACTTTTTTTGTAATGGGTAAAATATGTTAAACTCGCGTCAGGACACGTGACCCTGATTGAAAATTCGTAAGACGGATGGAGCGTAGACAGCCGGCGCGGTGTAGGAGAGGAAGTATCCCCCTCTCTTTCTACGGCGCGGCAAAAATGTATGCCTGCGCCTGCTGTTTCGTTTAGGCGGCGCAGGGCGCTTGCGCGAATGTTCGTTTTTCTGAGAGATAAACTTTTTAATGTAATATAAATTGTCATGTTTGTGTAGGATAGCGCAATAAATAAATATTGTATTCTACCAAATTAAAGTACTATCATTACTTTTATACTGATTATTAAAGCAATTCGTGCAAAATTATTCCCTAACCATTCCAAAATATCAAAAATGCACAACGTTAATATTCAAGTTTTCACTTCTGCCGGCACTCCCGGAGTGCAACCCGTCGTTTTTTTTTATGTTAGAGGAGGCAGACGTGCAGACGGGTCACCTGATGGAAAGTGACTACCGCTGCCCATGAACGTCTGCAACTCAGGAGTCACAAACGCGTTGCCGGCCTTTTAGGAAGGAGTACGCTCTTTTCTTGAAGGTTTGAATGTCGTATCAGTCCGGAAATACCGCAGACGATAACCCGTTCCACAGATTGGTTGTGCGGGGCAAAAAGTGTCTCGAAAAGCGCACAGTAGTGGAGTGCCAACTATCCTGGTAATGAGGATGAAAATCTTGCCGTGTGGAACGATGGCGGAAATTTGCGGCTGGTATTAGTCCGAACAATTCCTCGGAGCACTCTCCATGATATATGCGATAGAGAATGCAGAGCGAAGCCACATCTCTACGTAACGCCAAGGGATCGAGCCGATCGGAGATGTTTGGGCTATCGACGATTCGAGTCGCTCTCCGTTGGTTGCGGTCCAGAGGGAGAAGCTGGTACTGAGGTGCCCCTGCATAGAGATGAGAACAGTATTCCATATGCGGCCGGACTTGCGCCTAATAGAGCTGAAGATAGACAATTGATGATGATTTTCAGACAAAAAAATTATAGAAAGTATATTTTTTTAAAGATTTATGAACGAAAGGAAGACGACAACCGGATGGCGTAGTGGTTTGTGTAACGGACTGCTATTCCAAAGGTCGCAGGTTCGATTCCCGCTCAAGTCAAACATTTCTGTGAATGAAAATTTAATGTTTTATTTGGTCTGGGTGTTTCTATGTATAATAAGTATGTATTTACAAAAAAAAGGATATATTATGTATTATTATCAGTTGTCTAGTACCCATAGTACAAGATCTGCTTAGTTTGGGACTAGATAGCGTTGTGTGAATGTGGAAAAAAAAAGAATATAAATAATTAATATTTTTTTAGAAAACACTAATCTCATTGCTTCTGCTTTTCGGGACAATAATGGCTACAACAACGAGTTCAACTTGCAAATGGCTGAAAGAAATTATTGAATACTATAAAACAAAGTTCAAAGAAGATGGCCATACCACACTCACGATCAAAGGTATTGGTCTATTTTTACATTAAAGTTGATGTGTCAACTACTAATAACTAAACTACTAATACCAAACTATTTTCTTTCCGAAGGACACTTAACAGGTACTAGTTGTAATTAACCGTTAACCGTGACCGTGTGGTGACGGATTAAGAATACGTAGTGTCACCACCCCTATTCATCCCGTGGGTGTCGTAAGAGGCGACTAAGGAACTAAACTACGCAGGACAACAACACTGCAAAGAAAAGGAAAACTTGACACAAACCCTATACCAACCCGTCTGGCCAGCGTGGTATAGTAGGCCAAAACCTCCTTTCTATGGAGAGGCCTATGTCCAGCAGTAGACTATTAAAGGCTGTTGATGAAAAACCGAACTAATCAACAAACTCAACATTTATTGCTTCACCGCCTCTTCTAGCAACTCTTGTAGTCAAGCCAGAAAGTTATGAAGATTCTGAAGCCTGGTCTCTCGACTCCATTTTAGTCTTAATGGTCTTTATTAAAGAAAGTAAAGCAGCAGGGCTAATTCATCGTGCTTTTAGGTGTATCACACAGGCGTCTAAATTGAAACAGCTTAAAACTGAGGTATTTACATAGATAATGTCTTATTCTTTTCTTCTCTCTTCAGTAACAAATTTTTAATAAATAATTTAATTGAATTAGTGGTAGTTGTCCGTAATTAAACACTAAACTCTAATTATTGTTGTGAACAGAAGTCGTCTTAAAAATATTTAATAATTAAGTAATTTTATTACTTTTAGGCAAATGTTTCAGAGACAAGCACACCTAATGAACTGCTTCTTATCATGGACAACAATCTTCAGGCCAGATTGCCTAGCTTACAAATCAGCCATAAAATGATCAAGTAAATATGGTTAATTATATATATATAAATATATAAATTTTATTAGGATAGTTAAGATATACTGTAATAGATACGACAGCAGCATGATCTAGTTAGTTATATACAAACAAAATACAATGAATAATAATGCTGTTGATAACTTTTTATTAAGTTAAACTAGAATCTATTTAGCTGTCTATAATTTAATTCTAAGTAACTAACTATATGTAAAAAAGTATATAAGTATTCTATTAGTCAATCTAGTTTTCATAGTACAAGCTCTGCTTAATTTGAAATTTGATGGCGTTGTGTCAGATGTCCGAAATAAATAAACAAATTAACACTTTATAAATACTTTAAGAAATATACAAATGCATGCGTGATAGAACTCATCTGCAACATCGCTTACTGGTGGTGTTTCGAGAAGGCTCTTAATATTGCCACGTTGAATGGTAATGCTAGTTCGGTGTTTAAGAAACACCTTGGTTTCCTGGTCATGAAAAGAGTCAAACAATCGTTTAGCCAGCTCTTTGTGAAAGGAACTTATGACCAAATAACGAGACGTAAGCGTCTCGATTTAAAACTGCTAAAAATTTAATTTCTGATTAAATCATTGCTTTCTTGTTTTTACATTATCTTAAGATTAAAAATAATTCTCTTTTGGACTTCAAGCCCGTCTGTGATTCCTCATAGAAGTTTTCTTATGGAAATACTTAAGTTGATATAAGTTGAAAATGCGCTATATATATACCAGTAGTTTAGTGAACTTGAATAACCGCATATGAAGGTAAGATTTCTTTTCAGAAAATTTTTGTTCCCACAAATGTTAGAAGATTGGCTGAACCTTAACAAAATATCTAAGTAAGTACTATAAATAATTTTGTGTTGAACTTTTAAAGACTAAAATGTCCATTGTATAGTACTAACACTACGAAAGACCGAAGGGACAAAAGGATTTACTATTTTTGTAAAGACAAATAAATTAAAAAGAAATAATTAATACTAGTAACATATTTCTTAATGGTCATGTTCGTATCCATGACATTTTAATCGAAATGCGATTGTAATACCATAAAGTTAAAGGGAAACGCAAGTCAATTGAAATTCAGTCAACATTAATTCAAGTAATTACCAAACATACATGTATTAATGACTTTGCTTCTATGATCTGATCTTGATGAATAAAGTGATTATTGATGTTGTTCTCAGAGAAATACGAAGGAAAAACAAACGTAAGTAATCAGTATCTTTATTTTAGTAAGAAAAAACTAAAAAGACTAAAGAATAAAGATGAAAGTTCGAGCGCGCATTCTGGACACTAGCATATTCATTACAACCTTAAAGTGTTATCTATTATCAATATGTAGGATTATGTATGTATGTAACTGGGTAAGTATTTATGTATGTGTATGTATTTGGTACGTTTGTATGTATGTATTTATCTCAGTGTTTCTGTCTAACTTCTCAATAATTTTCTCTTACTTTACATATCAATCTCTAGTGCACCTAGTTAAACATTTCCGCACCACCCACTATTGTATTGTACAACCCGCCATTGTACAACCCACACTTTTGCATAAAGTATGAAAATAAAAAAATAAAATAAAATAAAGCCCCACTTGGTGCTACATCGTCAAGCACTCTTAGTTCTCACATCTTAGAATTATTATGGGTTATGTAAATAATATTATTCAAGATTTAATGGCACATGCCAGACAAATATTTAAGAAGAAGCTACTTTTTAAATGAAAAAGAGTAAATCAATAAAATTTTAGGTGAACGCGTTGGAGCTGGTGGCCGTCTCTTTAAAGCCTCCGGTGGTGGCCGTGGAGGTAATGACGATTACAGTATAAAATTGCATTACATTTTATGCGAGCCTGCATTTCTCTGAGCATGTGAAATTGCTTTTAAGTGCATAATAGTATGGCAATTATACTTTAAATGATAACTCAACGGTGTAAATACCGCAATTCTATTACTTTTTGATTGTGAATTGGAATTAACATACAAGACATCAATGTCTGATATTTTTTTAATATTTATTTTTGTTAATATCAAATTAAAAACTTTGTGGGTTACGTGGTGCTTAAATTGCAGTTAATATCTGTCAGTTGCGTTCTTTTCTAAAATTTGAGATTACTTTTTCAGGTCATCACAGTGGTTGGGTTACAGCTGGCCATCATGGTAATATGGTTGGAGATGGTCACCACATAGGCTGGGTTACCAGAGGTCATCATATGGGCGAGGGACCGGGCAGAACTAATTTTCCATCAACAAATCGTGGTGGCAGTGGGAGGGGTAATTGGTTTAAAAACTCTCATCACAGTGGTGGTGCAAATGCAAGAGGCAAAGGTGGTCCTATTATCGGCGGCGGTCCAGGAAGTACTAATTTTCCATCCACCGTTCATTACGGTGGTGGAAAAATTAAAGGCATTCAGTACGCTGATAGTACTGAAAGCTGGGGCAAACACTGGTATCATGGTGGTGACAGATTTGGTAAAAACTATCATCCTAGTGGTGGTGCTAGTGATAAAGGAAGAACTGGTTCTGTTATTGGCGGTGGTCCTAGAGGAATTCCTGTTCTGACCTCTACTCGTCATGGTGGTGATACAGGTAGAGGCGTGAATCGCGAAAGTATTAAAGAAACGACGAACAAACATCGTTATTATGGTGGTAATACGTACGTTGGTAACAATTACTATCACACTAGTGGTGGTAGTAGTGAAAGGGGGAGGTCTAGCCCTATTATTGGCGGCGGTCCGGAAATAACTCATTTACCGTCAACCATTCTTTTTGTTGGAGGGACAGATAGTAGGGGTAAAAAATATCATTACAGAAGTGGTGTCAGTGATGAGGATAGAAACGGAACTATTATTGGCGGTGGCCCCCGAGACACACATGTAACATCAACCGTTCTATACCGCGGTGGGAAAGATAGAGGTGAACATCACCTTCTGAACGATTGGGGTAAAATACATCATCACAGCAGTCGTGTCAGTGATAGGGCTAGAGATGGTCTTATTATTGGTGGGGGTCCCAAAGAGAGTCGTCTTCCATCAACTAATCGTCAAGATAGTAGTGGATGGGGTAGAGTTACCCATTACGCTGATGTCGGCGAACGGGTCAAAAACCGTTATCACAGCGGTGGTGCCAATTATAGAAGTAGAGATGGTCCTAATATTGGCAGTGGACCCACAAGAACTACCGCCAGTGATACGAGTAGAGGTGGTCATATTATTGGTGGTGGTCCGAAAAGAACGCATTTACCTCCAACTATTTATCACCGTAGTGGTATTGGTGTGATGAGTGATCAACAAAGTAGTGTAAACGAATGGCAGAAAAGAGGTTATCACGGTGTGGCTAGTAGTAGTTGGGGTGGAAGTAATGGAGAAATCGGAAAAGGTAGCAAGATTATTGGTGGCGTCCCGACAAGAACTCGTTTTTCAACAACTAGTTATATTTTTGAGAGTACTCCGAAGTATAGGAATAATTAATTGTGAGTTAAAATGTAGTGTGTAGTGTTTTTAGTTAGTGTACATAGTGCAATGGGTTTTCCAGTGAATACGTCGCTTGAATAATAAAAAGGATTCCTTAGGATAATCCCTATAGAGATTAAGTTAAAATTAAGTTAGAAAATAATTATGGGATAATCTTAGTATTTTTTTTTTAATTATAAAAGAACAATTTATAAAAATCAGTAAGGTACAAGCTTATGCTCATACTTAATAATCCGTAGATGTATTACGGAAAAAAATTAAAACTTAAATTTTAGAACAAATTTGTTTACCAGTTAACAATCACGATTAAGGCCTGAGTCGGCCCGAGTTATCTCGTGTATATATAAAAGATTTTAAAGTATTAAACATATGTTACTGGACACTGTGATTTTTTTATTTAAATATGTAGATTTAAAGAAACGGTTAACATTTTGGTATCACCTCTATAGTAATAAATTACTTTTTGGATTAAAAATTATTAACAGGTTCTTATAAATGAGTTAAAAATATTTAAAATAATAAACAGAATATTATACTGTGAATGTATTTTCTTTTCTATTTGGTTTATCAAATGGTCTTCCATGCTTGTTTGTCACTAAACGTCAAGTGTCAAGTGAGTATAAAAAATAAGCATAGAATTAGAAAATAAGTAAATGGTAATTTTAAAATTTTATTAGAAAATACATCGTTTGTTTTTTAATATGAAATTTTGACGTTCAAGCAAAAACAATAGCGTAACAAGCATAGTATGGTAAACAAAAAAGATATCACATATTGTGTGCGGTTTGGAGTTTCGCTCGGTATGAAGTTAGGAAAATTGAACGGACGATAGTTTTTGGAAACTAATATTAGTATTGCTGGATTATTTTACTTTCTAAGGCTGTACTTTTGCAGTGTGACATTGCACTGGAGGTAAACAAGATTTAATTGCTTTGAAAAGTTTACTCTCAGACGGTACGTTCAACTAACCAGGTTCTTATGATTAAGTGTTCGAGACCATATCCTGTATTTATCCTGTCATTTTATTTTTGATTAGTTTTAATTTGACCCTTGACCCTTTCATTTGAACTATGTTGTTTTTTTTTTTACCATTAGCTGTTTCATTTAATTTAGGTTAATTAAGTGAAATGCTTTCAAAGGCGTAGTAGCCAACTAATTAAACTGCAGTACGGAACTACTAAAGCTACAAAAAATCATCTTTTGATAAAACTTTTCAACAAATATCAACTCTCGGATCAAGTAAATAAAGTTTGAAATCAACCACGAGGTTTATTATTGCCGTAGTACACGTAGTTTTGTTTATTTAGCAACTGCCATAGAACAATATTCCTCTCTCGAACTAATATAATATAATTAGATGTATAAACCAGTTGTGAATTCTTAAACCCTGTATACTTTATATTATTTTATTTATCCAATAAATAACGAAATCCACCAAAACTGGTTACATTATTTTATTGTAAAATAAATAAAACAATGTTACTTTTACCAATATGTGTCAATAAAATATTTACAGCGGCTGACATCTAGCACCCCACGCATTTTCATTATAAAATTATTTTTCTTTTTTAATTATTCGAAAATTATTTTCTACTTTTTAGTTCGACTAGTTACAAAAGCGTGTTTTTTTTTGTTTTTTTTTAAGACTAATTTATAAATATTTGTTAACGTTATAGTGTTACAAATTGATTACAATTAAGATAAGACACAATGGTGATAATGGTGCAAATAACGTTTCGTGTTCCGAAAACGTAGTACGTGACAGGACTAAACGAATTTTTAGTGATTTTTAGTTTAGTTTAGAGAGTTTTTGAACAACAGAATTAGCACCGTTGCGTCTCCTATTAAAAATATAACCGATGACTACGCACAACTGTTCATAGGTACTAAGTCTAAGCCCGTTGGCCTTGTTTTTGTATGTATATATTTCTAGTTTAAAAATAAAACTCATTGTTTTTAGGTTATAAAAACATTACATTACTCCGATAGGCTACTGTTTTACCCTTTTACAACCTTGAACTACAATAGCAATTATGATTCCCACTCAAGACCAGGGGAATATCAAAGCACTCAATAACCCAGAGATAATAAAATTGAATCCTACTACCACCATAAAGAAAATAGGACAATAAATATAATTTCCCTTAAGGCTTCAGTGCCAATGAGTGACGCAACGCGTGACCGAGCCCACGCGTAGTACCAAATTAAGTAATTAAATGAACTGTAGATAGGTGGATAATAAGGTGCGAGTGAGGAATAGCGGAGCGATACATTTGTTTTTCTTTTAAGAAAATATCTTCAACTCTTTCATTGTTATCACATCATCACATCACATCAACAGCCTTTAATAGTCCACTATTGGACATAGGCGTCTCCTTAGATAGAAGGTTTTGGCCTACTATTCAACGCTGGCCAGACGGGTTAGTATAGGGTTTGTGCCAAGTTTTTCTTCTCTTTGTTCTGTTGTTTTGCGTAGTTTGCTCCCTTAGCCGCCTCTTACGACACCCACGTACAGGACACTTTTCGCCATTAAAGAGCATGCAAATATTTAGTGGGCAGGTTAAAATAATAAAAACAAGAGCAACGAGAACCAGTTTTAAGCTTGCAGTTGTTAGTTAACACAATGCATTATTTTCTAAAACGAAAAGACCGAGAAGCGCATTTTTTTTAAGTATTCGTGGACAGAATAATGCACTGTTTAATTAGCCATTTATTATCAACTTTCTACCCAATATAGGTATATCAATCATCATCACCATCATCCTTTGTCTGCCCATTTCGTCTCTTGATAGTGTAGAAGGGCAAACGAGCAGCCGGGTCACCTGATGGTGAGTGACTACAGCCGCTTATGGACACTTGCAAAAAGTTGCAATTGCGTTGCAGCCCTTTGAATATTCGTCCCAGAATCAGGGATCTGTTGCTCCCTTTCTCCTTTTGTTGCCTTCCATCAAGTGCTGAAAAGTAACAAAATAACAGCTAGAGAGTGATAACATGGCCTCACAGAAAACCGCACTGGTTTTCTGTGAGGCCGTGTTATCACTTATCATATCACACGGCATATTTAACAAAGTAAATAGCATGTAAATAGGATATTTGTGTGGTGGAACGGGTGTCATGTCCCTCCAAAAAAAGGGTGGTTATTCCGACTAGGCGAGGTGATCATGGCTGGCGGGCCGCGACCCGACGGTTGATGTTGGGAAGTTGAATATATGCTAATAGGCGAGAGAATTCGTCGTATCTCGATACAGGATTAGCAATTCTCATTCAGGAGTTAGTTAGGAATTAGTTCGGTATGTCTGCGTTAGATGGCGCTGTAGTATGTTTATTTGTTTCATCGTATGTGGAAGTCGCCACATTGCCAATTTGTAATAGATGTTTTAGTACTTTTAAATAAAATTCAAAGACTCTACCTTAAGATCAATCGGATTCTATATCTCTAATTTAACATTTGTCTAATTATACAAGGTTACACTATTAATATCTTGAAGTTTTAAGTTAATTTAATTTTACATTTATCTCAGAACAGTGCCTAATTTTGTTTTTATTAAATTATCATAATGTTTATGGACCGCGACCTGAAAACGTGACTATTCTTAACTTTTACAAACAAAATACGGAAAGCGATGTAAATATTATTTAATGTAGTTTTTATGTTAAAAAAAAATATGAAAGAGTAGAGTAGTCGACTGTTTTCAATGAGTATAGTTAATTTTCGCTCTGCCTTAAGCTCCGCTCACTTATAATAGCGTCCTTAGATTCTATGAGGTCCTTTATGAGCCACTTGCGTAGATGAACATGGAGGTTCCGTGGTTGTAGTAGTAAATTATTTGTAACTTTTTAGTTGTGTCTCAGGAGTGTGTTTACGTTAGTTATATTATTTTAATGTGGAATTACAGTGCCATATTAGAGTAGGAACAAACTTGTATTTCAAACTGTATTTTTGTTTCGTTATACAATACAAACGAAAAGACGCTATGCGCTTTTCAAGACACTTTTTATCTCGCACAACCAATTTATGGAACAAGTTATCCTCTGTGGTATTCCATAACCGATACGACCTCCAAACGAAAGAGCGTACTCCTTGCTCAAAACCCGCAACGCGCTTGTGACTACTGAGTTGCAGGCGTTCATGGGCTACGGTAGTCACTTTCCATCTAGTGACCCGTGTGCTCCTTTGCCCTCTCTTCTATAAAATCGGAAGAGGACGGGGTTTAGGCTCTGGTAACCTCACTGACTCGTTGAAAAACAATGAAAGAACTCCCTAATAGTGGTTTTTTGTGAGGCCGTGGTACCACCTCGGTCGAGCCTGGTGCATATGTGCTGAAACAGACCGAAGTAGGTATGGACTAAAATCACAATCACATGTGATAAATCATATGATTAATAAATAATAACACCACACTTGACCAATTTACAAGACCATTGCGACTTAATTATTATTATTACGCTAGCGCAAGCAAAAAAAAAAAGGTCGTAATCCAGGATAAAAATTGTTTTTTATTGATTTTAATGCCATTTATCTTTGTCTATGACGAAATCAAAATCACATGTGAAATCGCTGTGACTGAAACTAATGATTTCATCAAGTGAATTTCATTCAAAAGTAGCAATAATTTCCATGTCTAGCCCGAAGTGGGAAGTAAATCCGTTATATCAATTACTTTACTCCACATTGTTTGGTCTTGGTGCTTAGACTGCATCGTGACTAGGCGTAGAACATAAACTGGGGAGTGTTTTCCCATCTGTAATATTGCATGTTCCATCGGTAAGTGTAGAGGCGATGTCGCTCGAAACTCCCGCTTGTACGATCAACCTGTACTTCACGAAGCCCATGTATTTTCGTGTATTCATGTACAATAAGTTATACTGTATGAAATAAATAAATATGTAGGTAAAGTAGGTAGTACATATGTTACATAGCCGCACTGTTGCATTGGGTGTTGGACCTGTAATAACATATAAGGATTATTTAAATAAATTGTGCCATGGGCTTTATT